TTATTGATTTTTTACAGAGAGGAAGGGAGAGAGATAGTTAGAAACATCGATGAGAGAGAAACATTGATCAGCTGCCTCCTGCACATCTCCTACTGGGGATGTGCCCGCAACCCAGGGACATGCCCTTGACCGGAATCGAACCTGGGACCTTTCAGTCCGCAGGCCGACGCTCTATCCACTGAGCCAAACCGGTTTCGGCCTGACTTTAAATGTGACTATCCCCACGGGTGTCAACACCTCTGCCAAAATCTGCTGAGCATCACTAGTTTGCCCCCCGGGGAAGGGGAGCATCAGCACAGACGCATCCTTTAGAATTCCCAGAGGGCACACACCTCACAAGATCATTTCCCAGCACAGAGCACCCCTCAGGGACAGCTCTGCCTATCACAACCTCGGGAGAAGGATAGGTCTCTCTCTCCAACTGTGTATGGAGCTTGGAATTGTGATCAGCAGATGACTGTCAGGATCCACGTATTGTTCCAGTCCCTTTATAAGGGTGACATGCTCACTCGGTCCCTGTCTCTCTCCCCTCCCTCCCTTCCCTTCTCAGATAAACATGTCATTAGCATTCATGCTACAAATGGCTGGATCACCTGAGTCCTTCTGAACATCCCCTGCCACCAGCTGCCTCCCGACTGGCCCAGGGGAACAGAACACCTGAGTCATACAATAGACTGTGGGCCTGGCCTCCCCTCACCACCCTACGTGGCTGGAGAAGCTGAAGAATTAGATACAGTGTACGTGTACCCATATGAATGAATGAATACATACATACATATATGTATATATGTTCTGACATTTCACTCCAATGTTTGAATTTACATCTACCTTCCTGGACACAGTTTCTCCTCAGTGTACCCATTCAGCCCTTCAGCGGGTGGTCAGCACTTGGCACTCTGAGCATAGAACACCCACAATCCTTCAGGGCTTCTCATCAAGTCCCACATTCTGAGCTCTGCCATGGGCCTTGAGGACCCTTTGTTTTTGCAGAGGCCCCTGTGACCACCATAGCCCAGCCTTCCACCAGACCCTGCTGGCTTGAGAGGAAAGATAACCAGGGGCTCTGGTGCCAAGTACCCAGCCCTGCCTGGACTCAAACCATGGACACCAGCAGGACAGGCACGGGGGGGGAGGGGCGGTGAGGGGGACCTCTGTGCAGCCGAATCTCTATAGTCCAGTTCAACTTACCTTGAATGATGCATGCACCCAGGTAGGCAGCATCTGAGAAGGAGCAGAGTAGTCGACCGTGGAAAATATCTCTCTTAATTTGCAGGTACAAAAGGTACCTGCAATACAAAGGAAAGAGTCCCCCTAAGTGTCAGTGATTGCTCATGTTCTATCCACCTGTATCAGCAGCACCCTCCGCAGCTCCAGGAGTGGCTGAGACATGCCTGCCCCTTGGGGGGCCAGCGCAGAAAACGGAGGGGCCCTCGGAATCCAGAGAACAGCCCAGTATCTGTGGCAGCTTCCAAAGCTGGGGGGGCTGGCCCTTTTCCAAGAGACATGAGAAGGACCAAGGAAAGCCAGAGGGCCAGCAGCCACTGTTCCTGGCAGGAGGTCCCACAGGGTGACACCCACCGGCACATGCTTCCCACGTTCTGTGTGAAAGTCAGGAAATGGATGAACTCAGTACACGGGAACCGGTCTCCAGGACACAGACTCAACAGCAATCAATCTCAAGATGACTTTGTTATGAGTCCAGAAAGCAAATTAATTCATAACTGGAGCTGTCACCTATTTAGTGTCCTCTCCCCTCTGCAGGGACAGCAAACTCAGATGCCTGCAGAGCCAGGCAAACCTGATAAGGACTGAAAGGAGCTGGCATAAGGGGGCCAGGGAAGCAGAATGGAGAGCGCTGGCCCCATGAAGGGGTCAGCCGCCACACAGTTCCAGCCTGATGCTACTGCATAGAAAACGGGCCAAATGCATCCAGCTTTTCAGGAAATCAGGAGATGGATTTAGAAATTGTGAACCAAAGGGGCTCCCTTGGCAAGCATGACAACTCAGTAACTGAAAGTGACCACACGAGGTGTTCCGATCATAAGAAATTCCTAACTGAACGGGTTATGGGGGAGATCACATTCCAAGGCCTATGTGGTAAATTAGGCTCTACCTTGATCCATTGTTTTTGCGCATCTAGAATAACATACTTAAAATGTCAGAGTGATCTCTTCTCCAGAACTCCAGAGGTAAACACTGGTGAGGGGTGAAACAAGGCCAACATTCCTCATTATTCTCTTTACCCACATACCTCTGTAAATTATGTAGGCTAAAGGTGAACTGTCCTGCACCCACCATGTAAAGGAAACATGTATCCCTCCGTTTTACTTTTTATCCATCCTAGAGATTTCCCTGCTTTGCTTCCTTCTGCCTCCTCCATCTGCAACCGTTGGATTTCATGCAAACCTTTCCTATGTCTTCTCCTTTGATTCTAGTGTATAAAATAAACTGCTATTCCCCGGGGGCATTATCTCATTCCCTTGAGGAGACATTGCGTCTGGGACTAGCCCTCAAAACCATGGCTCATCATACACTCTTTAGACCTTCCTTTAGGTTTAGAATTTCTTTCACTGAAAAAGTAAAACCCTTTGAATTTTAAACGTTGCAACAAATTCTGTTTTTAAAATTACTGGGGCACCAAACAGAAAAAAAAAATACACTTGTGCCCAATTCAGCCAGGGGAGAGGGACACACCAGCATTATTCAGAGTAGCTAAAAAGTGGGAAAACCCAATGCCCATCAACTGATGAAAAGGTAAACGACACGAGAATGCAATGGGATATGATTCAACCACATAAGGAATGAAGTACTGATTCATGCACAACAGGGATGAACCTTGGAAATATGACACTAAGTGCAAAGAAGCCAGTCACAGAATACTACATATTATGATTCTATTTATATGAAATGTCTTGAATAGGCAAATCTTTAGAGGCAGAAAGTGGATTAGTGGCTGCCAGGGAATGACTGCTGGGCTATGGGGTTTCCTACTGGGGTGATAAAAATACTCTGGAATTAGATTGTGGTGATGGTGGCACAAGGTTGTGATCATATCAAACCCATTTAAGTGTACACTGTAATATTTGCCAAAAGAAATGAATACTTTTGAAAATCCAAATTGCCTTAGAATAGTGATTCTCAAATGTTGACATATTGCAGGGCTATGAAAATAAAGACTGCTGGGTCCCAGTTCCCAGGTGATGCTGCTGGTGTGAGACCTCACTCCGCAAGGTCGCAAAGTACTAGAAATTGATCAAATCTTTCCTCTTTTAAAAAAGAAGGTGGACTACCAGGGCAACTGCCATAAGTTTCTTTTCTACCTGCTAAACGTATGCATTGAACAGAAAGCATTCCTTGCCACTTTGTGTGATAAGTTTAGCGTAAAAAAGAGTTTCCAATAACTATTTCCTGATGAATGAGAGGTCTGGGTTCTAATCCTGTAAATTAGGAATCCAGTTGGACAAAAGCTTCCCGAGAAAGGAAAAATCAGCTTTCACAACATCGGAGCCTGGGTGCTGACTCCTATCTGTCATCTCCAGAGATAATCATGGATTACTGTGGATTCGACATAATCCACTGAGCCTTCAAAATGGCTTCAGGCTCAGGTGCTCATTGTTTAAATACAATAACCACTAAAATAATAATGATGATGCCTCTTCCTTTAGCATCACATCTGCAGAATGAAAGGATTATGCACCCAAAGGATCTGGTCCTCTATTATTGTGCCACCATTAATGACATTGCTTCTCTCCCTGGCCTGAATTTAAACATGGTTCTGACTAAAACATTAAAACCAATATACTTTGATGATATCTAATCGTATACAGCATTTACCAAAAAAAAGATGACAGCATAAATGGAGAGTTAGAGAATGAAAAATGATTTCAAAAATCTTTTGTGTGAGTATTTGTGTGGTTTTCCTCTTTTAAATCTGCCCTTTTCCCCAATGTTTCTTTACCCCTAAGCATGGTCATAAATGTGATCTTAACTTCTCCTATATTAAATTCATCTTAAATTTTAGATTAATCTTACAATAAAATAATTTCTCAAACAAGAAAACCTAAACTCTTTCAAGATAGGGTTTAAACCATAAGCGCCTGGGCATTGCACAGTTTTTAGATTCATTTTGAATACTAAGGACCATAATGACTAAGAAAAGCTCATCTCCACTGCTCAAGGACTGAGCATCATCTTAATTTCCTTCAGAGACATAAAAATGTTCACAATTTTCCATTACTCAGACTTTAGCTGTTCAAGCAAATGCCTGTGAATGCTAGCAAATTTAATTGAGAGGGATTTAACTCAAGTTATTAGCTAAAACTTTATTCTCTTTTACTTTCAAACAGGACTTTTCTCAACCACAAAAGATCTATTGTTAATTTCTATTATGACACTATCAATTTTTGTCCTCCACACAAGATTATAGAGAACATAAATGACAAAAGTGAGCCATTTGGGCCCCTGGTGGTTCTTCCTGATTATACTGTTAGCACCCCCCTGAGAGCCCAGAGAGCAGGACAAGCCTCTCTCTCTCTCTCCCTCTCTCTCTCTCTCTCTCTCTCTCTCTCTCTCTCTCTCTCAGCTCAGAAGCTCCTGTTCCCTGGGCTATAGAAAGAGTGGGAACTGAAGAACTTACCAAATAAATGAATAAATTTTTGAGCCATGAGCAGGCAAAATATGGCATGAGTCCATTTACATGAAATGTCTAGAACAGGTAAATCCATAGAGACAGCAAGTAGATTAGTGGTTCCCAGGGGCTGGAAGAGAGGAGACTGAGTATTGGCTGCTAGTAGGTACAGTGTTTCCTTTGGGGTGGTGAGAAAATGTCCTGGAACTCTCCAGTGGTGATGGTTGCCTAACATTGTGAATGTGCTTAATGCCAATGAATTGTACACTTTGAAATGGTGAAATTCATTTGTTATATGAATTTTACCTCAATTAAAAAAAAACACACACACACACAGCAGGTCAGATTGCAAAATCCGAACCACCACTTATAATGTCCATTACCTATGTATTTCTCCTCTCTACACCTGTCCCTGCCCCCGCCCCCAAGCACAACCCTCCCTGAATGACTGTGTCCTAGTTCATAATAGAGAAGAACCCATCTGCGCCCTCAGTGCCACTATGGTCAAGCTCTACCAGACATTCGCCGGTAATGAGAAAGCTAAATATCCAAGAACCCAGCACATCCCCTGCAAATGAGGATCAGCAAAGGGCACTTGTTTCTCAGTTGCATTCGTACCTGCGGAGGTTATTTTGAGAGATAATTATGCAGAGTGATTTCTGCGGTCACCAAATCAGAGCCTCATCAAGAACTTAACACAGAATGGCTCTTCCCCCTCCACTGAATAGGCCCCTCTGGGACCTGAGCAGCTGTACTGGCCCAGGCTGTTCACGGAAGCAAAACCCCCAGAATGTGGCCTCAGCACCGGGGAGGCCTGAGAATCGGAATATTCAGAGAGTTGGGCTGAGAAGAGTCTACAAGGAGAGGGAAGCTGGCCCCAACGTCAGTCATTTAGTGAGCGGAATGCAGGATGACAAACAGTCCGTTCTATCAAGTGGTCTCTTCCCTCCCAGAAAAGCTGAGATCCAGAAGATAGGCCCTCGGGGCTTCACTCACTATGAATTTGCCCATATCCTAAAGACCGTCATCTTCTATCTATTTTTAGCACCCTACTGTCAGATGTTTGCAGGGAGTACCTCCTCCTTATAACCGCTGCTTTTCTGTGCACTTAATTACACTCCCCATGACAAGTGTTTGAAAAATCCTGAGACAATTAAGTGCAAGAGAAACATTCCAAGCCAGGATGCCGAGCTGAGCGCCCACATTGTTGGCACCTCCAGCCTGGAAGACTCGGAGGACCTGGATGGTTTGTAGGAGGCCAGGGGGGGAGGGTTATGTTAAACATAAAACAAATGAAAAATACCTTGTGAGCTCTTCTTTAATCTTCAGGGGTTCATGTGGGTAGAATTTCACTCTAAAGCACATGGTGTATGGTGGATGAGCTGAAACATCATAAAAAAAAAAAAGGCATGAGAAAAGCAGCAAAACACCATGGACTCAAACATTCATAGGAAAGTCAGCCGTGAGGCCTTGCAGCCCAGCCTGGGGATGGGGTAGGGGAGAGGGTGATTTTCTGGATGAAGCAGGTATCATACCCAAGAAAACAAGGCCATAGTGACAACCAAACTCAAAACTCCACAGGATGCCCAAACCGAATGCAGGGGTGGTCATAGATGTGATCTTAACTTCTCCCGTAGCACTCTAGTCCCTAGCACATCTTTCTGCTTCACAGCGCCCCTCCCCTCCTTCATTCTCTCTGGGTCAAAGCTTCAGAGAACATTTCTGACTCTCCCCACACCCTTGTGAGAAATTGCCCATAAGCACTGCTCAGGTTTTTGGCCAAGCCTGTGAGGTAGAAAGATGTCACTGCACATGACTAGTTTTCCCAAAGCGATGGTGCCTTTGAAATAAAACTGAGATTTTTAAAATGGAATCAGCCATGCACAGATCCTTCTTAGTATATTTTTCATAATAGTTTAGTGTTATCTATCTATGAGGCAGTCGCTTGTATGAAAATACTTTTTTAACTTCCTGATTTGTCTGAATCAAGATAAGTACTAAGCAGACTGAAATTCTGGTTGATATCCATGATTCTGGAATGTTCTAATTGCATTAAATACCCAGAACTCAATGACCAGCGAAGGGGATTCTATGGAATTTCTGATACTTTTAATTATAAGACCACCGTTGACTGGCAATGTTAACCTAATAAATACACACAAGTACAGTAAGATGCATGTGATGGTTAGTATTTCTATTTCTGCAGATCTGACATTCCCACTCATGTCTCGCTTTTGTCTCAGAGTGGCTACTTGGCATCAGCTCTGAGTCTACATCAATGAAATAGCATCCATTCTCCCCCAAATCCTCTCATTATAAGCAGGGGTTAAATCAACAACCAACTCTACAATGTCTGGGGCTCTTCTGTATGCAGGCAAATTCTTTATGTAGAAAGGACTATTAGCATCAAATATGAATGTATAATGAAGATAGTTTAAAAGGGAAAATAAATCTTAAAAATAATTAGAAAGAAAGCATCTGCCAGACAGGAATACAGCAGTATCTTTCTGGCTATCTCAGCAGAGAGAAACAAATTAAAAATATACACACACATTGCCCTGGCCAGTATGCTAAATGGTTAGAGCACTGGCCTGCACACCAAAGGGTCACAGGTTCAATTCCCAGTCAAGGGCATGTACCTGGGTTGCAGGTTCAATACCTGGCCCTGGTTGGGGCATGTGCAAGAGACAACCCATTGATGTGTCTCTCTCACATCTATGGATTTTTTTTCTCTCTCACCCCTCTCTCCCTTCCACTCTTTCTAAAAATCAATGGGAAAAATATCCTCAGGTGAGGTTTAATAAAATACACACACACACATGCACACACACTTATGTTAGAGCTCTCCATTCAATGTTCTCCTTCCCCACTGGGAACTAGCAAACTTCTGAGTTGGGTGCTCCTAACGCAACCCTGTGTTCCCTAGATTTAAGAAAGGAAACATTTTCTGGAACATGAGGAGAAAATGAGCACCTCCTATACAGCAACAAAACAAAGAAGAAAATACAACTGATTCTTAAATCATTCATCTTTCATGATATCTAGAAATTCTGTTTTGACTTAAAATATTTTATCTTTACACATTCCCAAGATTTCTTTTAAACTGTTTAAACAATCACTCTAAAGCAGTGGTTCTCAATCTGTGGGTCTCGACCCCTTTGGCGGTCGAACGACCCTTTCACAGGGGTTGCCTAAGACCATCTTGCATATCAGATATTTACATTACGATTCATAACAGTAGCAACATTACAGTTATGAAGTAGCAACCAAAATAATTTTATGGTTGGGTCACAACATGAGGAACTGTATTTAAAGGGCCAGAAGATTGAGAACCACTGCTCTAAAGAATTAAAACTAATGATTATTTTATTATAAAACCCATGGATTGTCCTTAACAGAAAGATCAAGAGTTTTTATAAGAACAACAGAGCAAAAAATGGAAATAACTAAGAAAGTTTTCTCCTTCCTTCCTTTCATTAAAGTCCTCAAAATTAATCCATGATTAAGCCCAACCAATGAAGATGATGGATGGATGGATGGATGGATGGATGGATGGATGGATGGTGATGGATAGATAAGCCAACCCCTTTCACTTTCCGTCACTCAGGTCCCCACCCACCTCAAACTCTCCACCACTGTTAATAACTTCATCTACATTCTCCCACCCCTTTTACACCTTCGCCCAAATATATGCGAACATGATTACATATGTGAGAGTTTTTTTTATAATTTAGTCTCACAAAACAAGATCATACTACAGATGTTTCTCTTGCTTTTCTCACTTAATTCTATGTTTTCCCCTCCCCTCCAGGATGGTAGATATAGATCTATAATAACTGCATAATCACACTATGGAGAGACCAGAATTTACTCCACTACTTCCACTCTTCTCTTTTATCATCATTCAGGTTATTTCCATATTTTTTCAATTCAAACAATATATACACATATATATATTTATAAAAAGATATATGTATATTTTTTATATTTTTACATATTTAAAGTGTTATATCCTATATAATAAAAGGCTAATATGCAAATCAACCAAACAACAGAATGACCAGTCGCTATGACACACACAGACAACCAGGGGGCAGACGTTTAATGCAGGAGCTGCACCCTGGTAGTCAGTGCGCTCCCACAGGGGGAGCATAGCTCAGCCAAAAGCCGGGCTCCAGTGGAGGTGGTGGGAGCAGCAGGCGGACATCCCCAGAGGGGTCCTGAACTGTGAGAGGGCACAGGCTGGGCCCGGGGTCTCTAGTATATTTTTAAAAGAACATATTCACAGGGGTTTATGTATTTATATAATCGTGCACATATCATTAAATACTTGTATTTTTATTTCTATAACACAGCCTCCCAAAATTTGAACTGTTGAGTCAGCAGATATGGGAAAATATCTTAGAGAAAGCAGAAAAATGAAAGCGAACTTAAGGTAAATTGGGGAAAGTAGGACCACAGAAGACCTAGGGATTGGGCCTGCCCTCTGCCACCCAGGAGCAGGCCTAAGCCAGCAGGTCGTTATCTCCTGAGGGGTCCCAGACGGCAAGAGGGCACAGGCCGGGCTGAGGGGCCCCCCCCCCCCCCGAGTGCACAACTTTTTGTGCACGGGGCCTCTAGTATATTTATAAAAGAACATATGCACAAGGGTATATTTATATAATTGTGCACATATCATTAAATACTTGTATTTTTATTTCTATAACACAACCTCCCAAAATTTGAACTGTTGAGTCAGCGGATATGGGAAAATATCTTAGAGAAAGCAGAAAAATGAAAGCGAACTTAAGGTAAATTGGGGAAAGTAGGACCACAGAAGATGGTACCATACTAGAGCTGTCATTCTTTTCTCCTACCTAGTCAGCATATCTGTTTATCATGCCCTGGGCTGGCTTTCATAGTTATCTGAGTTCATTAGATACAAATCAGGACTCACACTCATTCCAAGGGATCAGCTGGGAGGCTCACAGGCAGCACCCCAGGCAACCATCTTTGAGAACCCCTGATGGCAGTAAGTCCTTCCACCCAGTCATCCTCGTTCCAGGACCTAAAGCTCCACATGGTCTAATGTTTCTCCTACACACAGAGCCCTTCCATCATTTGAAGAGAGTGCTATGGTCCTTCCGAGTCTTCTCTAAAATAAACAGCCCCCGTTCTTTTAACTGTTCCTCAGATGAAGTAGTTTTGAATGACCTGGGTTTATTCCTGTCTACTCTGTGTTTCCTGGAGCATGGGGTCCCAGGGGTTGCCACATCTGCTCAGGTGAGGGGACCATCACCAGCATCACTTTGAACATAATTGTTGCTTCCCCCAAGCAGCCTCATCTCAATATTAATTCACTCTGAGTTTACAATAGACATTCTTAAATCTTTTCATATATGCTGTTGCTAAGTCATACATAAAAAGTCACTAAGTTCCTGACCTCTCCCTCCATTCTCTAGGACAGTGATGGCAAACCTATGACACGCGTATCAGAGGTGACACGCAAACTCATTTTTTGGTTGATTTTTCTTTGTTAAATGGCATTTAAATATATAAAATAAATATCAAAAATATAAGTCTTTGTTTTATTATGGTTGCAAATATCAAAAAATTTCTATATGTGACACGGCACCAGAGTTAAGTTAGGGTTTTTCAAAATGCTGACATGCCGAGCTCAAAAGGTTCGCCATCACTGGTCTAGGATGTGATGGTAGCAGATAGTAATACAAGGTACTAGTGATACACTCACAGGCACAGGCCACACTATTTAAATGTGAGCTTTTGTTTTGTGGGGACCAACACTCCTATCTGAAGACGAGAAGGAAAGTGGGGGTGGGAAATGGGAGGGAGGGGATGGAAAAGACCAAATTCAATTCAACAACTCCACAGCTGAAAAACATTTTACTCAGCTATGTAAGTGCCAAAAATTAGAATACCGCCGAGTAGCAAAGAAGGAAAAAATCCACTTAAAAATGCCAGGAGCACATAATTGCACAGAGAATGGCAGGGGTTCTTCCTAACAGCCCTCCCTTACCTGCCAGCCAGGGCTGAGGAGGCCAAGTGTCTCCATAGGGCAGCTCAGGGGCCCTGTTCTGCATCAGCAGATCCTGGGGTATAATCATTTGGGTAGTTTGTTACCAGTGAGAACACAGGGAGAAGAACAGACATTTGTAAAGCAGAGACAGGCTTTCTCATCTGCACTTTGAGAACTTGCCCAGAAATGGGGGTGGGGATGCCAAAGGATTAGGTGAACAGACTCCCAGGCAAAAATGAAAAAAAATAAAAAACTTTCTATTATTAACCAACAAACATCCTCAAGTCTTTGTAGAAACAATTAGGACATTTTTTGCAAATAAAATATTACTTAGCAGCTTTTATTAAATGTGGAGGTCTTCCCCCA